CAACTTCTCTGAAACGTCTTTCAGCGCAATCCCTATATTTCTTAGGCGTAGGGCTGCCTTGTTGGCCTCTCATGTATTGTTCTATTTGCATTGTTCTGATACTCTACTCACGCTGAATGGCTTCAATAAACTTTCAAATATTAGGGTAGGGTGTTGTGAGATATTAGTATTTCGAATCAGCGATGCCACCCTTCGATTGAATTTTTTGCCTTCGGAAGACGGCGTCTTACTCCTTCGTGACTTCCACATTTCTTGGGAGAAGTGGGGCATTTGGCGTCCCATGCATCGTTGAGGATATCCAGTCCAGCAGTCCTCAAAGCAGTCAATCACGCCTTGTGTTTCTTCAGTCATGTTATCACCGCTACCGCCAAGAACCTCAAATGTTTCTACCATATCTTCTGCTGGGACATAGGCCAACACAGACAAGTCACATTCTCATTGCAAATTAGACGTCTATTTCGTACCTTCTTTGAAGATTTTCTGCCGGAACACGTCGGAATATACACCGTCAGAAATGGAAGAAACATTTCCAGCCTGTAGAAATTCTTGACGAATAGCACTGACGGTGGCAGGTTCGAAATTAATCATAATTGTTTCTGGGGGAGGCATCTGGTTGAAGCTGTTTTACTTGCTGCAATGACCCAACATATGTAGTCTCTGTCTTGTCTGGTAGTAGAGCATTCAAAAGCGGAATAGAACTCTTCACCTGAATATCATGGAGAGCGTAGAGTTGGTAAAACAAATGAGGCACTGCTTTAAAACTTTCGTCCCCAAACCAATGTTCAGATGAGGCCAGTGACCGGAGATTTTTTGCAGTGGAGAATATAACCATTTTGTCTTCCGTCGGTCCTGAATCAAACAGCAAAAAAGTTTCACCTCTATTAGTTATTTTGTACTCCTCGGGAAATACAATTTCCTGTCGGGTAGTAGGCAGAACTGGTGCTTCTTGTTTCCCTATCCTGATGTTTCGCATCGTTATTTTGATACTGTCGGTCTTCGCAGTATATTCTGCAGCATTTTGGCTAAGTTTTACATACAGACCCATTAGATATCATATATTGGGATACTTCTTGGTTATTTATCGCATGATCACGTACGATATCCTCCATCTTCGAAGCTTCTATATGAGATGCATTCCGAATGTGGTTGTGATCTCCCTTCACGGCCTCAATGGCATCTCCAGCTGTTATTTTATGAACCCGGAAATTGTGCTTATGATGCATCTCACACTTCCAATGTCTTGTCAGCTTGTTTTTCTTTGAAAAATAAGTGGCCTTCCACTAAACGTTTCTGTCTTCCCTTTTCACTAGTGACTAACCCCAGGCCGTGACTTTTAATGAAGATTCGTAACTGAAGTATCACACTCGAAGAACTTTTTGAAACTGACCTTTGAATTTTCTGAGGTTTTTTATAAGGATGAAGCATTTCCTCTCATATAAGAGGTAATTATTGTGCTCGTTAATTAATCTTTCAAATATGCTATTTCTAAATAAATGCATTAGATAAAATTTGTTTTTGTGTGAGTAGGTAATATTATGGTATTTATTCTGCTCGTTAACATAATCTTTCAAATATGTTATTTTTAAATAATGCTGTTTATGAACATCATGAATAAACTATTGGCGTTCAGTTGTAAAATGGGTCAATCTTCTATTCGACGAATTGCGTGTCGGTGAATTTTCCAGTTGGGGAACTTTCCGGATACCGTTCCTAACAGACCTTAAGTATGCCGATGACGTCATTCTGCTGAATGGTTCTGCAAAAGGCCTTCTAGCACTCACTAAAAGTAGGGCTGCTAGTGAAAGGGCCAAAAAACTAATATTATGAGACCGCCCGTCGCGACCCACGGTGCCAAGATATTATGGAATGGTATTACGAAGGACGAAATTGATCATTTCAACTACTCCAGTACTGTGTTGACTGATGAAGGCGACATTGATCCTGAAGTGAAACTGTGTATCGAACTGGCATCTGCGAATAATCAAAGCTGTGTACTATGTGCAGGATTGATCTATAAGAACGAACTCGAAGATAATCTTTTTGAAAACAGCCATATTTATAGTGCTGAAGTACACTCTCGGAAAATCTGTCGTCCTGACGTGTCATGAATCTTGTTTAGACAGCCTCCAACATAGCTCTCTATTCAAACAAAATGCGATGGTGTCACCGAGTCACGAACGAGCATGTGCTCTTATTCACCGTTGCTCAGAGGCAGTCGCCTAGCTCGGTTTGATAAAACAATCATAGAACAGAATGGAGTTCTTTTCGAAACGTTTCTCTCGTGGAAACCTTTGAATAACATTAGGCGCGTTTGAAAACGATACATAACATTGAAACACCTGCGGGCTAGGAGGAATGTGACCTTTGATGCAGTGGTTAACGTTGCCTAATATTGATCTAAAATACCATATTTAAGGGTGGGACATCATAAATTTGAATTTCTGCACTGTTTATAATCTCACTTAGCCTCACTTAACCATGACAGAGTAACAGCAGCAATTATGTTTCTGATTAAGTTGTTCCAAGCGAATGGCTAAGGTCGGTGGTAAAATTTTTTGACCAAAGCATACGGGCTTTTTGTAGATAAAAAATAAGCAAGAAACCTTTTTACAAAGAAGGTCAAGAAAAGCTGTGCTATTTAATGATTTCCAAAGTTTGTTCTAGATCCTAAGACTGCACCCCCAGTTATGACTGGAAAACTGAAGAAGTTTCGGTATCGGTCATTTTTACTGACACAAGTGAATACAAACTTTTCGTGGTTAATCCGGTTATTTATTGCATAATTTTATTTTCCAATGCTATAGTCGAATTATGGACGACAAACAAGGTGTTCTGGCAGACTGTCCGCCTCTCGACATGGAAATTGGGGCAATCTGCGAATACTGAAGACTTGTCCTGCCGCTTTCTTAGCAAGGAAGAGTATATACCTAAGCGATGGTGTAGGGACTTTGAGGAATTTCTTAACCCCGCCAAAGGGAGATAGACTCGCCTGAAATTCATCAGAATGCAGATATCAATCCTTCAGTTGTTGAAGTCTGGGAATCATTAGAAGTGCCAAGGCTACTGGAATGGATTGTACCCTCTGTGAAATGCTTGATACTTTAGGCGAATCAGACATGTGGTGGCTAATTTGTGTTTATCAAATTGCAGTGACTATAGGATTTGTGCATTGACAAGTATAAGTGAATTGGGGAACTGAGATGACATTACCCCAGTTTAAGAAGGGAGATTATATGGAGTGCTCTGCTTATCAAGTGATTCTTTTACTGAGCCTCGCGAAAAGCCTGAGCAAAAATGTTGGAAAGGAGTCACGCGTAATAGCTGATTTCAAGATCCAAGAAAAGTAGTGTAGCTTCAAGTCAGGGCGGAAGACCTCTGACCAGT